ACGAGAGCTTTAGAAAGAACACAAGCATCAAGCGTTTCACGAAATATCCCATAAACACAAGAAAATGAGAAAATTAATTAGTTGTCACGCGTTAATCTGTGCTTTATGCTTCCGACTCATTCCGTTCAACTGTTTCTCGTAAACTCATTTAATCGCGATATTTCACAGCACATTCTCCGGCCTGGTATTGTAAATGAAATTATTTCAGTCTTTTGTTACTGTAATTACGAAAGTGTCCATTAAAATCACCTGTTTGTATTGTTTACAATAAATCCTCAAAATTGAGGGAATTGTGTTGTCATGAAATGCACATAATTTCGTATCAAATTGCTGAGAAATACGAGATGAATTATGAGCAGCGAGATATCGTCAGGAGTGTTGAGAAGTGAGCTTTTCCCCGATTTTGTCACATTCTCCTTGAAATCGGAGATGGGAGTGATTTATATGGGAACAATGAGGGGAAGAGAGTCAAGGCCTTTTTATTCCAGTCAAAAAAAATCGATTTTATCGGGGTAACGATAAAAAAATATGTTAAAGTAAATAGCTTTCATAATACAGACAATAACCCATGAATTTCAGAAATCTTTTGTAAACATTTTTCAGCTGGTCAAGGGGAGATTTATTTTTGAAAGAGAAAAAAATCCTGTTTGTATTTCATTCATTTTTTGACTACGGAAAATATTTTATCGAAAATAATCATTATTCTGGTAATATTGAGAGAAGTTTTTATTATAATAGTAAAGTTAATAAATATTAGTAATAATTTCGTTTGTGACAATTTTAGAGTTGTGTAATTAAATGGCGATTGAAAACATAAGAGTTTTTCTCCTTTTTTCAGCTTTATTATATTCATAAAAAAATTTCCGAACTGCTTGTTCATGTTTTCACAAAAAATTTAAAACAGTAAGGGAATCCTCGTCTTCTTGCTGCTCAAAAATTTGGAATTTCATTGAATTTTCAGTAAAATCTGAAGTTTTAGGATTTTTTCCCCCTAAATCGAATTCACATCAGAAAATTCGCAGAGGCAATTGACCACAAATATGTAAATGAGAATCATACAAGACGGTAACCTTCAGATTTAGATAACTTATTAGCGCAAAATAAGGCAATATAAGATACTAGACTAGAAATATCTGACAGTGTAAATAACCCAATAGATGAGTTGCGTCACTATAAAACAGTAAAAAAACAGAAAATCCCGGTAAATATATTCTTGAATTTTCAGTACAGGGACACTGAATGCGATGCAGAGGGAAAAAAAACCATGAGATTTCAGATTTTACTGAAAATTCGATGTAATTTGGCACTGACTATTCATATTAGATTGGAAATTCAAATAAACTGAGGAATTCTCGTCTTTACGCTGCTCAAAATTCTGGAATTTTACTGAATTTTCAGTGAAACCTGAAATTTCATGATTCCTTTTCCCTAAATCGCATTCAGTGTCACCGTCCTGAAAATTACTACTCAGCTGTCCATGAAATTTTATTTTTTGCTCCAACAGTGTAACTAAAATGAGTGAACAGATTAAATCGAATTGAAAGTATTCTCTTTTAAATTACAACGAACCATTCTCCCACCATGAAGCTGTGTTTTGTCTCTGACACTAATAGTTCCCAAACATTACCAAACTTTTATGTCTGTCTCTGAGTAATATGTGACGACACATCATTATAACTTTTAATGCTTAAATCTACCCGTGAACTTCCCCCACATTTCAGTATCACCCGCAGCGGCACCGCAAAGTTTCCTGAAAATTGGTGCATCAGTTTCCTAAATTCTCAGCTTTTTTAATTATATCAAAATACCTCCCGATGCCACTAGACAACTGAAGATATTATCGCTCGAAAACACTGGCTGACGACAGATGCTCTCTCCCAAGTTTTCGAAATATCAATGGAAAACTCGTTCTACTGAGTGGAAAATTATTATTCTCATCAGTACTCCCAATAACAAAAAAAAACGTGAATAAACAAAAATGAAAAGAAAATAATGAATGATTTTTTTTGCTTGAATTGCGTCAGACAATCGATTTTTAACTGTTTAATTTTGCCCCACTCTCACCTAATTTTTCTTCAATCGCTCAAGGGTTTTTTTCATATATTTGTATGCAAATTTATTAAATAAACTTCAATTGACATCACGCCTCAACCCTTGACCATATGAATCATTAGCGAAGTGGTAAAACGGTTTAAGTCGATTTTGACTATTGGCCAGTTTTTAGTGAATATCTCGGAATCTAAGGGAGATAGCAAAATTTTTGTTACAACCTTTTTTGTGGAGCCGATTGAGTGCTACAACAAATGTAGTTACGAAAATTTCGCTATCTCCCTTAGATTCGGAAATATTCCTCAAAAACTCAACTGGGAGATAAGTCGATTTATCTCCGTTTACCACTTCACTACTGAAATATTCCCTTCCCCTCTTGTAGAAGTGTGAGTTGAGTAACAAATGAATGGAACGAGAGATGTGTGTGTCTTTGTTATTGTTTGGATTGAACAGGTGATTACTGTCAACTAAATAAACTGCCCAATTTATTTTTAATTAAACTAGATAAGTCCGCGCGCGCTGCGCGCGTATGTCCTACTCCATGGGGCTCAATGTACGTCAATTGTAGTGAATAGTATTATATTAGATTTCTGAAGTTGATATGAAGTTTTCCGAAGCAAAAGTTTCATTGAAAACTGATCAATAGTCAAAATTGAGTTATCTCCTTTTACCACTTCGCTACTGATTTATTCATTTAAAAGGATTCCAGAACAATATCATCATCAGAAACGTTAACGAAAAATGTTTTGAAAAAAATTTCGCCACTGCATAATTCTTGCTGATTATTTCTCTAGTTCAGGAACAACTGACGTGTGAAATAACTCACCTCTTCCACTCTTTTCCAGCCTCCTAGAGCCTATTTTTCTAAACATACCCAGTACTACTCTCTCAACCCCATTAGAATTGATATGAAACGTATGACCTACTTCCCCGGCATGAGCATAAAATTTTATTCATCCACAGGGTCGTTTTCAAGCTGTCCTTCTCTGCAGTTCATTTTTCAAATGGTGTATACGAAATTTATGATATGAGTGCTTACGATAACGCCCTGAAGAAATGGTATGCATAATTTTTCTAAAAAAAAAAATCACTAAAAGATGGAAAAAAAAAATTTCGTCACTTTAACAAATTCATTGAGATGAAGAATATTCAGTTTTTGAAATACGTGAGACGATTTCATGCAAAAAATGGACAATTTCAAGGCTTAAGGACCATTTTTCAATTTTTTTTGAGCCCCCGAAGGAATTAAGAAAATTGGTTTCGAATTTGATATTCACTTCTGCCTCGGGGCAGATCTGTACATGCGTAATCGCAGTTTATTCTCCCCCTCGTAAGAATCTTATTTATATACAGCATAAGAATTTGTCTCGATTTGAGTGTGGTAGAGGCACGAAAGAGGATTGATCGGCCAGGCGCGCGCACGTTTGCAGATAGAACGGTTACTCCCCTCCTGAGTGCTTCAAAATTACCCCTAAATGTACTGTAATAGATTACAATTTGTCGGTCAAATAGTGAACCATTTCCCGGGTATATATCCAACACCAATTAATCCAACTGAGAAATCGAATTAACCACCAAATTACCATTGGGTTTATGCTAATTGAATGGTCGTTAATTTGAATAAACAGAGGAAGACATTTGGAGCGAACATTTTCTCCACCTAAGGTAACGTTGATCACACATTGCTATCAACAATATTTTTTTTCACGCAAATGATCACTCGAGTGATAAAAGAATTCACAGCTTTTTTTGATCATTCAAATCCTTGTCAATAAGGTAAATGTCGAGGGGCCACTCATTTGAAAATCCGATTACATAGTGATTGCTGATTTCACCTGGTTTCAGGGAGATTTCCATGATTTCATGGAATCATTGATTTCGTGTCATTTTGTGTGTTTTTAAACGCTTTTTATTTACACGAGACCGAACGCGCGCTACAGCGCGCTGTAATTGTAACAAAAAGCTGAAAATGTGTGAAAACCCAATATGGGAATATGCTATTGGCGGCGTGTCATCGAAAACTGTTTTTTCCGCTGGTAATAAGGTAACTTAGACATTTTCAATCATCACAATATCATTTGGAAATGTCATAATTTTATTTTCATCACGCTGTGACGAAAAGTGAATTTTTTGGCACGCTCCGCGTGCCTAAAAGTCCAATTTCCGCCACATTGTGCTGAAAAATATTGTTCGTAACTCGTGAAAAAATGTTTTTTAGCTCGTGTTTTTCACTCGCCTTCGGCTCGTGATATAAACCTCCCACTCGCCAAAAAACACTTTTTTGCACTCGTTACGAAATATACTATTTTCATGTATAATGCGAGGCATCTCTACCTTCTACTAATTTATTTTACAGAAAAAGTACCAATTAATTCGATTACTGGTCTGGTTCGAACACTGGTTGGTTCACCCTACGAATATTTTCTATACGAATTATTTCTATTCATAAATTTTTACATAAATTTTTGTTTTCATACGAAAGATGTGGAAACGCTCTAGAGAAAAACGTAGAGAAATGGCGCAACTCCATACGAAATGTTTCTATACATGTGGCAGTGGGTCGTGTAGGATCAAACCTATAGGAATCGTATAGAAATAATTTGTATAAAAAATATCCGTAGGGGAGGGTGGACTAAAACGGACACTTTAGACTTTTTTAAAATTATTCATAACTCAGAAACAAATTGATCAATTGAGCTCAGTTTAGGCTCGTCACAAAGGGAAAGAATTGTAAATTATTAAATTTTATCAACATTTCAACCCCTCATTAACATTTTAAAAAAAGTACAAAATGTCCGTTTTACCCCAACCTCCTCTATAGAAATATCCGAATATCATATACAAAAATCCTATAGAAATTCTATATACAACCCGTATAGAAAATTTCCGTGCTACCACATTTTAATCAGAAGAGAATGTTTCTGTTTGCGGAAAGATTTTCGAAAACTCACCCGGCATAATGGAGACGGTCTTGAGCGCCCTGAGTACCCTGAATGTTCTCAAACCAGCCAGATTGCCGACCTCCATTCCAATGGTCGCGTAACCGCTCGTTATCACGACAAAATCCAGCCAATTCCATGGATTTCGAAGGTATGTGTACTTGTTCAGTATAAAGCCTTTCGCTATAGACTTTATCACCATCTCTGCTGTGTAAATTGCTAGGAAGATATATCTGTAAAGAAAGCAAAAGAGGAATTCAATTGGTATAATTCTATTTGATATAATATTTTCATTGGGTCAAGTCGATTTTGACTACTGGTCAGTTTTCAAGAAATATCTCAAAATCTAAGGCAAATAGCAAAATTTTTGTTACAAGCTTTTTTGTAGAGGGAATTAAGCGCTACAAAAAAGGTTATTGTGAAAATTCCGCTATCTCTCTTCGATTTCGAGATATTTATTGAAAAATGGCCAATACTCAAAATCGACTTGAGAAATATTTATTAGTTCCCATGGATTTCCAGAAATAAATTCTAAAAGACTTAATTTATTGCATTCTCATAAGTTATTGAGTTTTTCTATTCTCATGTGCTGTTGATGGAGGCAACAATAACTGTTTGAATCAAATAAGAAATAATTTCACGAAATTTCCATTCCCTCGCATCCAAATCCCATCCAATCATTTCTTATGACGTCACAAAGATGTGGAACGCTATATAAATTCCCTTCTTTTTTTCATTAATTATAGAATTCTCTAAAGCGACGGGATTGTCATAATTGAAACCTAATCGGGCTCGCCTGGCAATGACTCAACTGGAGAAATACGATTTTGAAAAAAATAAATGCTTCCCTCAAGTAAATGAAGACTTGGCAAAAATAATTATTTTTCTCAGTGAAAAGTTAGTGAATTATTTTCCATGAGTTGGGGTAGACGAAAAGCAGCGACAAGCAGCATTGTATGTCACCAGGGATTTTTGGTAGGCTTGCGTGCTTCTGCCATCCCAAGTGAGCATTCATGTTTCTTGGGTGACACGATGATACGATCGGAACGTAGAATTACCTGAGATATAAAACCCTAATTCTGGTATCGCCCTCCAAAAAGACGGAAGCCAACTTCTAGTATAAAATATCAACGATCACGTACACATCGGACTCTCTTTTGCATGTGTTGAATTTCTTATCCTGTTTGAATAAATTACCTGATAAGTTTCGTGGTGGGAGCGGAGGCGGGATATTAATCAAGGAGATAATGATGATGGAGATGATGAGACATTTTGAGGGAGTTGCTCTCATATCTATTAGCGGGATTTCGTCTACTTTTTGTGAAATTGGGGGAAATATGAAAGCGCCAGGGAAGAGTGAGGGAGTTGACGGTAATTTGTTTTGAGCGATGTGGAGGAGTTTTTTAATTTTTGATAATTATTTGAGAGGAATAGAGGATGAGGTGACGTCCGAAAAAATTTTCATAGAAAAACATGGTGAATTACCAGAAAAGTCCGGGAATTTTTGTCGTGTACAAGTTCCACTGAAATTCCAGGAAATCTTGTCATTGAGAAATCAAATATTCCATTGATTTTCTGTTCAAATGATCTGGAAATCAATAAAATACTTGATTTTTCAGTTCACTTATTCTGGGAAAATTCTGAAAAATCAGAAAAATTCAGAGAAAAATTGAAAATTCATGTCATTTTATTTCTGAATATTCATAACCGTATTTTCTCTGAATCCGATTCAATGTCACTCTCATGAGATTTATTATATAATAATATCCTCCACGAAATTTCAAAAAATTGCTAACAGTGTTCATCTAACTATTTTCATCTAATTGCTAACAGTCTTCATCTACAACGTATAAAGATAGACAAACTCCACAACTTCTTAGAATACAATAAATTAAGTAATTCAGAATTTTTTTATACAACTCATTCCATTGAGAAACTTTTCAAGTTTTTTTCATTCTACTTTTTTCTTTTCATCAATAAAATCAAACAAAAGAACTTCGAAAATTTGAGCTGAGGAAATTGTATAAAAAATATCTCGATAGAATAATTTGTACTGAAGAGTCGAATTCTGTTGACTTCTACAAAATATTTTCCTTTGAACATTTCAACGGAATCGGCCAAACTAATGAAATATTCAGTAGAAATCAATCCAATAGAATTGTCTAATGAATTCGCTAGGATTCTCTATTAAATTTTATCACAAGTGTCTTCTTGTCTAGTGAAAAATTTGTTCATTCAATGCCACATCAATTTAATTTATAATTGGAGGTAGAATGAAAGAATATCAAAATTTCAAAATAATGTAGAAAATATAATTAAACTTTTCGAGTCCTCTTCGCGGTACCACGCCAAAAGCTCGCAAATCAACAATTACTCAAACGCTTCGCTCAACCAATTCGCCCCGTGAATCCCCCCCCTCCCGACCAAATTTAATTGAAAACTCGAGAGGTGCCAGTCCACCATTTCAACTTTCCCACACATACTTCCCCACAATTCCGATTCGCTTACGTCCCTGGCGTCCGATGAATATTGAATCCTCTCTCCAGACCGAGGTTCTGCCATTTGGTTACAATGAAAGATAAAGGTAAAACCACTGGGAGCAAATAAAAAAAAATTCACCACAGATTCGAAGGCTCAAAGACGTTAACCGTGAAATATTCAGCATTCCGGTAGACTGGTGAATTCGATGGTTTTGCAACGGGCGGATGTGCCGAAAATACATGCACATCCGTCAGTTACATGTGGGAATATTGTAGGAAACCCATCGACCATTCGTTACTGACGAATTTACAGGTTTAGATAACGTCGGAAAAAATAGAGAAGTAATTGGGAAGAGGGATCGAATACAAATAGTTGAGAATTTTTATCTCTTCAAATATGAAAACAGAAAATACTTCGGAAATTATCTCAATGATTGTTCATGATTAAATTAATAATTAGCAAGGGAAAGAAATCATTAAAAACATATTTCTTCACTTGTGCGTAAAATGAAATTTTAACGCTGAATAGTCGTGATTTTGTTGAAATTTTTTTCACGCAATTTAATTGATAAATTTGATGATTGAAAATGGTGTAAAAAAATCATCAAACAACATTTTTTGTAATTTTGTTTTTCATCCGGTTTATTTTAAAACTTCTAATGCTGAAAATTTTCATTTTCTATTCTTACGATATAAAGGAAACTGTTGAGGTAGAATATTCCCACTTTTATGACGGATCTGTGAAGCCAAATAACAAAATCGAAAACCGATTGAAGAAGAGACAAAACGCCTGATTAACCCATCAACCATTCGTTACTGATGAATTTACAGCTACGGAAGAGGGATGGAATTAAAATAGATAAGAATTTTTATCTCTTCAAATATGAAAATAGGAAATACTTCGGAAATTATCTCAATGATTGTTCATGATTAAATTAATAATTAGCAAGGGAAAGAAATCATTAAAAACATATTTCTTCACTTGTGCGTAAAATGAAGTTTTAACGCTGAATATTCGTGATTTTGTTCAAATTTTTTTCACGCAATTTAATTGATAAATTTGATGATTGAAAATGGTGTAAAAAAATCATCAAACAACATTTTTTGTAATTTTGTTTTTCATCCGGTTTATTTTAAAACTTCTAATGCTGAAAATTTTCATTTTCTATTCTTACGATATAAAGGAAACTGTTGAGGTAGAATATTCCCACTTTTACGACGGATCTGTGAAGCCAAATAACAAAATCGAAAACCGATTGAAGAAGAGACAAAACGCCTGATTAACCCATCAACCATTCGTTACTGATGAATTTACAGCTACGGAAGAGGGATGGAATTAAAATAGATAAGAATTTTTATCTCTTCAAATATGAAAATAGGAAATACTTCGGAAATTATCTCAATGATTGCTCATGATTGTGCGTAAAATGAAATTTTAAAGCTGAATATTCGTGATTTTGTTAATGTTTATTGATGATTGAAAATGCTGTGAAAAAATCATCAAACAACATTTTTTTGTAATTATATTTTTCATCTGATTAATTTTAAAACTTCTCATTCTGACATTTTTATTTTCCATTCTTACGTTATAAAGAAAACTGTTAAGGTAGAATATTCTCGCCTTTACGACGGACCTGTGAAGCCAAATAACAAAATTGAAAACCGATTGGAAACGAGAAAAAACGAAAGATTAAAAAATTGACCGATATACTGCCAAGTCGTACGAATAATTGATGATGTGAGTAGACGGTGAATGTGCCTTCAGTGCTGCATGCCACTGTGGATCTGGCTGGAGATGGCCTGAGGGAAATTCGAAAGCTTTAGTTTCATCTGGATCTCTCTCCGGTTAAGCCGTCGTCACCCTCAGGGCTATTTCCAACTGTGTCCTTTGCTCACTCGCCAGACGCAGGAATATTATCAGAGGAGTATCCGATGAGCTCGGGGGAGCACAGAGCAAATCCCCAGAGTGTTCGTATGTGCTCGGGATGCCAACTCGCCGGATTAGCGTAATTTTAGAGAATTCGTGCGTTTGCCTTTATGAGAGGGAAAATTGTCTTAATTGGTTGGGGGAAATTAGACATTTTGGGAACGCTTTGCATGCGGGTTACGTTTTTGCTTCCGAATGGAAGAATTGTATTCGTTAAATCCGAAATTTTCAATTTTTGACGTGGATACGTCCATGTTTTGGGCTGGGGGGGCATTTAGGGAAAAAGTCGTTATAGTTCCTTATCCGCAGTGGCGCCATCTATCGAAATTCTAGAAAATTATGGATTTTTCTAGAAAAGATTTGATTTTTCTAAAAAATTCTCCAGTTTTTTTTAAACGAGATCGAAGGCGCGCTCCGTGCGCCTGGAAATTCGATAGATTTTATGATTCATCGCGTTAATATTTGAGTAGATTGGAATCAATATGTTTTTTCACGTCTACGAATTTCTATAGTATTACTAAGGAGGAATTCTTCTAAATCTATGAAATTGCAATTGAGAATTAATACTTCCATTCATTCATTCGTTTTCATCCATACTTCCGTGGAAATCACTAACACCAACATCACCATCAGTGATCAATATCATCAACATTATCAACAAAATCAGTATCATCATCATGTATGTGATTTCTCTTTCAGACGTTGAGGAATAAACGTGTGACATCTCCTTTTTATATAACATAAATTACAATTTTGAGGGATCATTAGCGTCGGTCGCCAAAATATCGACAGTTGATTATTACTATTACTAGGGGGCTACGCCCCCTGGTCGCTCCGCTCGCCAACCCCGGGGGGGCTTCGCCGCCCCCCGCTCACTTCGCTCGCTCCCCCCTCCCGGTGTGACCGAGTGGGTGTGACCGGGAGGGTTTTTCCGATAGCTCTATACATACGTTACCATAAGAGGCCACATACGTATAATTCCTCCCCATATATGGGCACCCCACATATTATTACTATTATTATTGCTATTACTATTGCACGAAATAGATAAAATTTGTGGATACGTTTGAACCCCACTTGGTGAAATTCAAGCTTTCATTGAAAAATCCATGATTATTTAACATGAAAAATCCAAATTTTCTGAATTTTCAAGATGAATGAGAAATTTAGTGAACGCTTTCATTTGGAATCGAATTCAAGCTCACAACATCGAAAATTCAGATGACGCTGTGAATGAAATTTCAAGGAATTTCTAACAGGCATGTATGTATGTGTGTATGGAACAGAAAAAATAATTGTCATCCCTGAGTCCGGCTAATTGTCACCCATCGCAAAATTGATCAAAGAAATGCGACAAATTGGATTGAATTCTGTTTAATCAAAGTGGGCTACTTACTCGGCTTCTTCTATGGGCTCGGTCATGCCGAGGAAGACACAGTTTAGCGCAATGGTCATCATGACCATGTAATCAAAGAATTGATTTGTACTCAGGAAGATGCAGCACCGTCGAACAGGATTCCAAGGTGAAAATATGAACCAACTGTTTGTGGCGGTAAATCTGTGGATGTAGTTCTTTCGAAATCTTTTTGACACTACGCAGAATGTCTGAAACAAATAATAATGAACATATCATTATTCTGGCGATAATGTTGATAATAAATTTATCAAGTCAACACCACAAAATTCATTTTTTTAAATTCATTCGTGATTTCTGTTTTTGGTAATGTGAATATTTTTAAAGAGAGGAGTTTTTGGAGAAAATATACGAAATTGTGTGATGAAATAATTTCGTCGTCAAGTCGATCTAGGCCTCAGCTGAGTTTTGGAGGAATCTCTCCGAGTTAAGAGAGATAACAAAATTTTTGTAATAAACTTTTTTGTTGCTCTTGTGAATGTTTAGCCAGAGTCGGTAAATGTTTTTTATTCTAATTCTAGAAAATTTCTATACGATTCTTCCATACGTGAAATCCTGATTTTTAACCATTTCCTTCAGATAAACCAAAACGATAATTAAATTGAGAATAAAATTAGGATACCGAATCTAATCGAGATTTCCGGAAGTTTTTTGAAGTTTTCAATCATCTTTGAATTTACCGTAAGGGTAGAGGTACTTTAATTCGCTCTACAAAAATGGTGGTAATAAAAATTTCGCTGTTTGCTTTTGATTGCGAGATATTTATTGAAAACTCGCGAATAGTCAAAATCTTGAATACTCAAAAATTATTTTATTTCAAATTTTAATTATTATGAAACAATTCTTATGTTTAGACAATCAAACTGTCTCCACCCCCTTTATGTATGACGGACTCATGATGCAACCTAATCTATTTACAACTTCCTGCATAACAAAAAACTTCCTCGAGACACAATGCATAAATTACGTTCGCCAGCCGCACTCGCGTGTAAAGTCCGACTTACCTCACTTGTTGTGTAAAATACCATTTTTTTCTAATTCTAGAAAATTTTTATACGATTTTTCCATACGTGAAATCCTGATTTTTAACCATTTCCTTCAGATAAACCAAAACGATAATTAAATTGAGAATAAAATTAGGATACCGAATCTAATCGAGATTTCCGGAAGTTTTTTGAAGTTTTCAATCATCTTTGAATTTACCGTAAGGGTAGAGCTACTTTAATTCGCTCTACAAAAATGGTGGTAATAAAAATTTCGCTGTTTGCTTTTGATTGCGAGATATTTATTGAAAACTCGCGAATAGTCAAAATCTTGAATACTCAAAAATTATTTTATTTCAAATTTTAATTATTATGAAACAGTTCCTGTTTAGACAATCAAACTGTCTCCACCCCCTTTATGTATGACGGACTCATGATGCAACCTAATCTATTTACAACTTCCTGCATAACAAAAAACTTCCTCGAGACACAATGCATAAATTACGTTCGCCAAAGAGAGTCGAGCCATTAATAATGCACAGCGAACGTGTGTGCTGAGTTGCACTCTGTGTAGACATGTTGTTTTTCTTAGTGAGTGTTCTCACCATGAACACACAAGAAACTAGAATCCCGATGTCTGACCACTGCTACGGCCTTTCCACTGCATGTGTTCATCGCAATGCGGAGGTCATTATTTTATCTCTAATCCGATTGTGTCAAGTGGTCTCATTACTCTAGCTCATAATAGGCACATATGTAATGGGATACATTCCTTACCAGATGATTTAAGAGATACGTGTGGAATCACTGGTATAGTAATTGATCGTGTCTAATGAATGATATCAATTTGAAAATTTCTTAATTTTTTTAATGATTTTATGAGGAAATTTTGACGAATTTAATGTCCAAATTTTTTAAAACTCTGGAGCCAATCAATTTTAACATGCATTCTCCTAGAATGGACAATTTTTTGTCCATTTTTTGGAAAACAAAACGTCGAAGGAGTCAAGATCATTTTCATGGATTTAATGAAAATTTTTTTAAAATTGTAGACAATAATTTCTGACGCGGATTCTTCTAGAATCTAGAATTTATTTCTCTAATATTTTGAATGAATGATAATCAATCATGGGAAAGTGGAGCAATTGATCATACATTTTCGTAGAATCTTTAATTTTTTTATGATTTTTGATAATGAATGTTTGGAAATAAACAAGAAAATTTCGGCAAATTTAATCTTGAAATTTTAAAGATTCCGGAGACAATCAATTTTAACATGCATTTTCCTAGAATGTAGAATTTATTGTCTAATTTTTGGAAAACAAAACTTCTGAAGTACATCAAGAAAATTTTCATGAATTTAATGTAAAAATTTTGAAAATTGTGGAAACAATAATTTTAAATATGCAATTTAAAAAAATATAGAATTAATGCACATTTCTGGAATGTCAATATCTGAATTTACTCCGAAAAAATCAGATGAATTCATGGTCAAAATTTTATAAATTTTAGAAACAATCATTCCTAACACGGATTTTCCTAGAGTCGATAATTTTTTTTCCGTTTCGAAAATAAAAAAACGTCTGAAATTAATCAAGGAAATTTCTATGGATTCAGTAGAATCTAGAATATATTTCTCTAATTTTTGGACGGAAAGAAAGTTTGGACTTAATCAAGAAAACTTCCACGAGTTCATTATCAAAATTTGAAAATTCTGAACATCATTTTCTGACATAAATTTATCTAGGAACTAGGGGATTTTCCCTATTTCTAAAAAAAAATTATGAAACATCATTCTTTGGGGAATAGAAACGAATAGTCAGACTCCTCTCAATCACAAGGTATTTTTATAACGCATTATTTTTCCACAATCGAAATTTTCTGAAAAGAGAAAAAAACGTAATTGATTTTCGAAAAAAATTGCAAGTTCAAGTCGAAAATTCATGAAAGTAAGGGTAATTAAGTAAGGGTAAGCATTGATTCCGGAAAAATTTTCCACGCAGTGAAATTTTCGATGATCATGCTCTGGAGTTCGAGTATCGTGCTGCTCTTCAGTGAACGATTGGATTTTTTTGCAGTTGAAAAACCATGGATAGTTTTCAATGACGGGCATTGATTATGATATCCTTGGCATCACTCGTCAGTTACCACTCCACCTCAATGGCGAGTGGTGCGCCAACCAACTCCGTAGCACTAGACTGGGGGGAGCATGGAGAATCTATCCGGTCATTCATTGGTATACCATGCACAGTCAACCAACAGTGGATGTAGAATGGCAAGCATATAAGAGAATTAAAAATTCGTGGAGACTTAATTATGAATAGAATAAACTAACTATAAATAGAATAAAAACAGTCCGCACGAAAAAAATTAGTAGAAAAACCTAGTGAATTCGTTAGAGAATTCTATTGAATTTTTATTGAACCATCTGTTCGTTTTTGGCCGATTCTATTGAAATTTCCAATAGAAAATGTTCAATTGAAAAAGTCAATAGAATTCCATTTTTCTATATAACTTATTCTCTTCAGTAATTTTCTATAGAATTTCCTCGGCTCAAATTTCCCAAGTTTTTTCAGTCTATTTTTCTTTTCTTCTCATTAAGGAAATCAAAGAAAAAACTTGGAAAATTTGAGCCGACGGAATTCTATAGAAATCTCAAATATCGCAATAAAATAAGAGAATAATATAATATTCTCAATATAATATTCTCAATAGAATAAGTTGTATTGAAAAATCAAATTGTTTTGACTTTTTCTATAAAATATTTTCTATTGAATATTTCAATGAAATCGGCCAAAAACTAGTAGAAAGTTCAACAGAAATTCAGAGAGAGGTTACACTTTTATTGTGGTAAAATAACTTGAAATTTGATTAGCTAGTTGATCGTGTGAAAATTTAAATGAATTGAAAAATGGATCCACAAAAAGAAAACGATAGTGGACAAGTCAATAAAAACAACTTATTTCCAACAGCTGAATTTTTTTTCCCATGATAAATGAAATGTCCGCTTACGCGGCGTTGCCGATGCCTCACTGAACGCCCCCGGGCGGTGTAGAGTGAATTCGGCAACGCTGAAGGCTACACAACATGGCGGTGAATCCCCACGGAGGTGACCAAGCCGCCGAGTCTCGTATGGTGACCAACCAGGGTCAACCTCGCCCAAAAACTCCTCCTCCTACATTACAATTTATTCCCCCACAAGGACCATGTCCATTGTAAAAACCTAGCGTAATGAACCCAAAAATGTTCATTAAAAACTTTTCCTGAAAATCCCGAGAGCCGCTCCCCGCCATAATTCCGTGATTCACGGAGTATCACTATTGTAAAGCAGAAAGGGGCGAAAATGAGGGCAATGAGACTTTAAGCGTGACCCTCCGCTGCAATTGCGTGTGAACTGTGGACGTCACTGAGAGGCCTATTGCGTTGCCGGCGAGAGCTGTCACGCGTAAGAACAAAAGACCCCTCAGACCATATCAGCATTAAAATCTGGTGAAAATATTCTCTTCACTGTGGTTGAGATTCAGAATTCGTCCGTAGATATCGTGACTGTAATTAAATCCTTTGCATTAGCAGGAACAAGTTTTTTGGGGTGAGGAGAGAACTTTGGAGGATGATTTATGAGAACTAACTGAAGGACTGTTTCTAGTTTTGGAATCGTTTGGGTATGGCTTTCGATGACAGCTCCCAATTAATCATTGAGCTTGATAGTGAAATTCATACGGAAGTAGTTCATTATACCAGAATTATTATTACATTCTCCTTGCATGAGGAATAAAAAATCGAAATGTTAGATATCTCCAGAATTCGTTAGAGCGGATATATCGGAGAGCGTCAATAGAAGAATGGAGAATTGGCGCGAAAAGAACAGAATCTTTCAATAGAATTCTGATAGAACTCCCATAAAATGTGAATTCGATGGATACAACTTGATAAAAAAATTCATAGAAACTGAATTTCGTGATTTCCCTCTCCTCAATCAAATTCGTTGTCATATTAAAGGGCATATATATAAAAGTCACATTCACCCCAACTGATGCTATGACCCGAGTCGAGGATTTGGTTCTGATTGGACGTACACAGGTCTTTC